TTTTTTTACTTTTTTATAATTTAAAGAAGAAACCAATCCGATGTATATTTGGCATTTGAGGCTTAATACTAAAAAGCACTAAAAGTTTTTCAGTTAGAGTGTTTTCAGCTTGTTTATTTTCATATAAAAATACGGCATGCAGTTGCATCAAACAATGGTATAAACATCATTCAATGTAAATTGTGATCATCGTAATTAATAATCGCAATTACAATTTCAAGGGAATAATCGACAATTATGATTTTTGTCATAATCGTGCAGCCCTAATATGTTGTAAATTGCCCACATGTACACAGAAATGTCATTGATGTAAATGTTTGTTCTTCAGGCGTGAGAGTGTTCATAGAGAAGAAGGCTCAGCTGACGCTGCTCGGCACGGAGATGGATTTTGTTGAAACGAAACTTTCCAGCGAGTTTGTGTTCAACAATCCCAACATCAAAGGCACGTGTGGCTGTGGGGAAAGCTTCAGCATATGAACCTCGCCGCACGTTTGGCTTCATCTAAAGCTTGAGCCCTCCAGGACATCCAGTCCATATCCTAGATTCAAACATCCATCTTGAAGATTTGTGGGTAAAGAGCTGGAGAAAGAGACTGATATTTAGTGGCCTGTTTGGCCATCATGTCCTGTGCTGCCTCCGTTCACCTCGACACAAACCCAGAAAAGCCCTGCTTACAAATACAGTCGTTACCTTAAAAATATGTTTCGTTTGTTCATTTCATTGCTTGAACACACTTTATTGAGCAGCTTGATGTGTTTAATGTGCCTGTGTCTTATGCGGCTCTGAGGAGGGTTTCAGTTACACTCCATGTTAGTGGTTCAAGAGGAATTAATTGCTTTGGTGTTTTCTCAGAAAGTTGTGTGTCGTCCAGTCGCTCTGATAGGGATTCATATTTGATAATCCAGTTATCCTGATGAGCTGAACCTGCTGGATGTCGTAACACGTCCTCCTTACAGCAACAACCTAAATCTACACTTCAAGAAATCTGCAGCTGCTTCCTCATGGCTGTTTTGTGTACATTTGGTGGGTTGTGGACCAGCAGTGCAAATCTGTTATAATCTACATAATATTGAAAGGTTTCTCTGTCTGGTGGATGTTGAGCGAGTATTAACTTTGCGCTTTCAGCATGCCACGTTTTGTCATTTGCTCTATAATGTGATTAACAAGCAGCACAGGAACTGATGCCAAGTTTTGAAATGCAATTGTTTGACTTGAACTTGTTTTCTGTTGAAGTATGTACTTCACAGCCTGTCTTATGCGGCTCTGAGGAGGGTTTCAGTTACACTCCATGTTAGTGGTTCAAGAGGAATTAAGTTTGCGCTTTCAGCATGCCACGTTTTGTCATTTGCTCTATAATGTGATTAACAAGCAGCACAGGAACTGATGCCAAGTTTTGAAATGCAATTGTTTGACTTGAACTTGTTTTCTGTTGAAGTATGTACTTCACAATGTAAATCCCTGTCTTTTAACGCACAGATAAACTTCCATTCTATATATAAGCAGGCTGGTTCTTGAATTAAATGCCTTTTATTGTCCTGAATGTGGCACTGTTTTCTAATGTCCCATTGCATCTTAACATTACAGTCCATTCTTTGACTTTAAAGAAATAATAAAAAGTCTCCATTATAATATTAATTTTAAAAATCATAATTTATTGCTGTTTGACATCACAGCATTTACAGATATGTGTTCATTTTATCAATGCAGATAATGAAAATATTTGGTTTATTTTTTTAGAACTCAGATTTTGTTTTCTCTGTTAAGCATGCGTTGTCAAAATGATATAAACTAACTGGTTTATAAAAATAACATTCAAAGTTTTATTTTATAGAATTATCTATACATAAAGTAATGGAGTAGAATTTACCTTTTAAAGTTAAGAATCAGTTTTTACTTAGAAATTGCTGGTAAATTTAACAGCATGTTTTCAAGTAAAGGCTACACATAATTCTTGGTGGCTTTAATTAAAAATTCCCAAGTAAATCTTGCTTATTCTTTTTCAAGTAAATTATACCTATACTTTGTAAATTTTTCTTAAGTAATGCTTAAAAAGAATACTATAATTGTAATGCTTATATATAATAATTATTTTATTTTATTTTTATAAGATGCTTTGATATAAGCATTACTGCCTAATATGAGAAACTTTTGTCTGCCAAATCAAAGTTGTGTGGTCCAACCAACATGCAGACAACTCTCAACTATTTTGTCTGTATGTTGGTTTATATTATATTATATATACACACATACATTTTATATATATATATATATTGTGTGTTAATAATAATTTGTATGTTGAGTGTGAGTGTGTGTATATATGTATGTGTGTATATATATATATATATATATAT